TCTTCTAAGGAAAACATGCAGTCAGTGCGTTTTGTCGTGTTTGCCATACAGCGAATTGGTCTAGAATGTTTTTTTTTTAATTCAAACATCAGTCTCAAACAACGAGTCTATATATTTGCACAAATTAACCGATTTTCAAGAAAAAAGAAAGAGGAGCAAAAATCTGTGGGAAATCTAATCATAGATTACATCTCTTTTCATGTGTTTATTTAATGCATAAAAATTGAGAGGGAAACCGTTTTGTTTACATAGTGCGGGATTCGATATAATCCAACCAACCGAAAAAATACTTCTTCGGGTTGAGACCAAGTTTGTTATTAATAAACAACAACAAATTGTAAAAATAGCTGTAAAGATTTTGAGACAGTTGTCGTAATTATTTTCTATCAAAGGAAGCGAAAAAATGAGCACTTTTCATTTTTCTATCCCTTTAAAATAAAAGCTTTTGTTTTACAATAATCGCAGTTGGCGTCGACTTATATCTTTAGAGATAACATATATTAGATAATGAACCCACCGAATTGATCATGTTTCGCAATTTGTAATTTGTGCAAAATAAAATTGCAGCCATATTTTCTTTTTAATTAAAACAATTTATAGGGATTTTTTCGTCATGTAATTAGAATCAATATTTTGAAAATCATAAAATATGTGCGTTTATTGTAAAATGATCTTTACTTTTGATTAAGACAGATAAATATGGGTTGTATTTCGTAATCATGATATTTGGTTAACGCCATTTGCTTTTTAAGGCTATTTTATATAGGTACTTTTCTATTTGTTGTACCCATTTCAAGGATAAGGGGGTCTACTTCCTTATCAGAGTACTCTCTTTTGGAAGAGAGTGTCTTAAAGTATGTTAGAATTCTTGTTAAGATAAAGATGGATCATTTATATTTTTTGCATGTCTGATGCATTCACCTTAATTTTTAAGATCTTTAAATTCTGAAGGATTGTGGTCACTTTCCTAATGTATATACTGAAAATTGCTTGTTGGTCTTACAAATGATTGGATATCAGTTGCTCCTTCTCATAGATCCTCTGGCCTTTATATACTGTAGTGTCAAGAAAATTTGCCCTTCTTCTGAGATTTCAAAGGTAAGTTTAAAGCAATTATGGCATGTTTTGCAGATATCTTTTTTTTTGTGCCGATGAACGATATAATCTGCCATCTCTGAATTTTCCTTGATAGAAAATATGACTGGCAAAGTATGACAACCTACTGCTTGTAATTGTTCGGAACATTTCAAGTGAATCCAAAAGAAATGTTTTTTGAAGAATAACTTCACTAAGGCCATATACATACTAGTTACATCATATGCAGTTGGTAACACTTCTGCTTGAAGTCTGAGAGTTTTGTTATTGGTAGTGTCCTTAATATAAGTTGATTGTTTTTGTAGTATGGGAATGAGAAAAATAATCGCTTTTTTTAATTTTGCATATCACACTGTGGAATTGTGTTAGACGACCTGGTGCTACATATCTGATGGTGCATAGGCTTTTCATTAGGGCATCTCAAAATTTATTTTGTGTAGCACAGCTTTCATGCCAATCCTCAAAACACAAGCGCTTGTTTCATACAGTGCGCTAGTCTTCTACTATACAAAAAAGTGTCATTGTTAAGTAGAAAACTAGCGTACTGTATGAAACAAGGCCTGTGTCTCAAAAGTATGATTGTCGTCAGATATATATATATATATATATATATATATATATATATATATATATATATATATATATATATATATATATATATATATATATATATACATATATATCTATATATATCTATCTATCTATATATATATATATATATAAATATATATATATATATATATATATATATATATATATATATATATATATATATATATATATATATATATATATATATATATATATATATATATATATATATATATATATATATATATATATATCTGTATATCTGTGTGTGTGTGTGTGTGTGTGTGTGTGTGTGTGTGTGAGGGTGTGTATGTGTGTCTAGACTACCTTAATGTGATATGTCGAGTTCTCATATGTATGGAAGTATATGTACAATGTTAAAATAAGGAACAGTGATCGATCTCACAAAATCTTTATACAATACAAATATTTGAAGAGGGCATAAATCAGGACCCCTGGAAATTCCAGAGATATGGTCGGGTGCCTAGGAAAAGTAAGATTCCCCTGCTGAACAGTCACACCCGTCGTGAGCCATATTTATAGATAAGGTAGGCACGCATGTGAGTTAAGGCAAGGTATAGGCGTTTCTATGCAAATGAGCTAATAAAAACGCTTAAGAGGTATATTTATTATTCAGAGAATGTCTTGATCTATTTTCTTATGCATACTTAGTACCCACGATATGTTATAGCCAGTACACATTATGACGTCATATTATGACGTCACTGATTTTATCTAGTGGAAGTAATAAAACACATCAACAAAACAGCTTCGGCTCAAGGGATTACCCTATCTATTTTTACATGAAAATTGTATAATGCTAAGAAGAATATTCTATAGATTAATAAAACTGCTGCACAAATCCTAGGCATTTTCTCATTTGATCGGAATTTGAGGAAACTTATACCGGACAGTGCATTTTTATCCTTATTCAACTTAAAACTTAACAAATAAAAATTATACAAGTGAGCTGTTGATATTTGTGCAGCAATACCAGCAAACTTTGGAATATTTTGCTTCTAAATATACCTTGTTTCAGTTAAATAAAATAGAGCATGCCCTTGAGCCGAAGCTTTTTTGTTGAAGTCCATTATAATCTTGTGTAATAAAGATGAATGGCGTCATAATATAACGTCATAATGTGTAATGGTCATCTCATATCGTGGATACCAAAAATGTATTAGACAATAAGTTTTAACTTTCTCTGCATAATAGATATAGTCCTTAGGCATTTTAATTAGATTATTTGCATAGAAATGCCTATACCTAGCCTTAACCCACCTGCGAGAACATTCCATTGTCAATTCAGTATAAAAATTGGTTTGAAACACGTCAACCAAAATTCGACCCAATGTTAGGTTATATCTGTTAACAATGTCATTATAACGACCATAAAATTGATAAATAGCCTGCCTCGGTTTAAAAATTGATCGTATTCTGTTCGAGTATCGAATACCTGGGAGACGTAAAGACATTATGCAGATGATAGTGGCATTTTCCTATAAAAATAAGGACGATAGGAAGGCTGAAGTCATCTCGTTTTTCATAAAATTAAGTTATTAGTTATCCCTTACGGTCTATAGTCAGCAAAACACCCAAATATGAAACAAATGTGGCAGACTCTTTTATTTCAAATTTGATAATTGAAAAAGAGTCCAATTAGCCATATCGCTTGACAAAGAAACATTTTGTTTCCATAGAAAAGGTATGTAGAAAATAGAAACATATTATCATGGTATTAACTTTGAGCATAGATTATTTTGCACAGTATTTTTTTTAAATTTGACTTTCAAAAAATAATGTTTTTAAATCACAAATTAATGGTTCCTACAATTCTACGAAATTTTCAGAAATCATTCATTACAACTCCTTAAAAAACTTACTTTAATATTTTTTTCATTCTCATTCGTATAAAATGTTCATCGTGTATTTTCTTCATTACTTTGCAGTCTAAGCAAATTTTTCATGATTGTACAACTTATCATTTAAAAATATCAAACGTTTGTTCTAGTACCTAAAACTTTGGAAATTCAACCTTTCACATTTAACAGACATAATCTTTATAATATTGTGATCATTTTCCTCGAGGTCTCTTTCAAATTTATATATATACATTTGTGGTATCTCTCTATTATATAAACATGCAGAGAGCAAATATCTTCATACCTGTATGAAGTTTTTCGAAGGTTATAGGTCATTACGTGACCTAATCACACAGCGCAGTAATATCTACATAAAAAGACTTACTCCACTAAGCAATATAGCATGTTTTTCATGCATAAAAATGTACAAAATACGCAAGTAAAATAATAATCATTTTATTTACAATGTAAACGAGTATTTAATACAGTTCTTGATCGATTTTACATAGAGAATAGAAAACTACGTGTTATAAGTTTCATGTCTGAGCTGCATAGTCTCAACGTTTACCCTTATTTTTCTCGCAGACCTCTGAATGCTATAATTTTTTTTTTCCATTAAACTTTACTCACAATAAATTTGTTGAAAAATATCAATGTAATGCAATCACGCCACACACTGCACTTTGGAAGTTCGGTAGGCACACCTCCATCATCGAGATCGTTGTGACGTTGTCTTAACAATGTAAGCTGTCGCCAGTGTCTCCATGTCAACATCATAAATTAATAAATATGCCTTACTGAAATCGTAGATTTTATGTTTTTGATCAAATTTGTACTTGATTTCAAGTTATCTGGTCCGGACAAGTGTCTCCATCCATCCCTTTCCGACCGAAATTCCTCCAACTTTTTAGTATTAAACATCGGACGTATTTCTTGTGTTTTTAACATCGAATATGGGTTCTCATGAATACAAAAATTCCCAGACACCAATATGCTCACTATAATAATTGATCACAAGAAGCCTTTCATAGAATATTCCCTTCGAAACAATCCTTTGCCAGATGAATTTGAAGCGTAACCGCTTTTCAAGCCGATTTACACCTAGCGTAATTTGTCAAAATCTACGACGTACAGTTAGGGCAATATTTATATTCGATTACATTCGATTGTCCGTCTCAAATGTATATATAAGTAATAAATAACAAGTTTAAAAACTTCAATGGGAATTGAAGTGGGTCGGTACGTGATCAAATCTTCTGAGAAGGCCTTCGGCCTTCACAGGATTTGATCACGTGACCGACCCACTTCAATTCCCATTGAAGTTTTTAAACTTGTTATTTATTTCTTAAATAAACAATATCTTCATTCACCTGATGTATGGGGATGTTAACTTTGACCTGATCATCATTTTGGTACTTTTCATGTTTTCAAAATCACTCCCCCAAAACAGACCTTTATAGGCCTTTTTGTTAGAGGTTTGGTAGACACCGTTAAGATCTGAATATCCACAGTTGCTGTACCACCATCCTCCAGTGCGATACTTAACTGCACAGTTAACGAAATAGTTATCGTTATCACGGTCTTTTGTTGTAAAAGACATATCATTCACCATCGTGTCTCCTGAAAATAGATACATAACACTTAGAAAAACAAATATAGTGTTATTATATAATAATTCAATTTTCCTTCTTTTCATCACCTTGAACTAATGTATTTCTACCTATTAATTTTTCTGTTCATGTAATGTCAACTTTAAGAACCGAACTACTTTTCACTGTACGTTTAGATAGTCATACGATGATTGTCAGTGTTTAAGGAGGTTGGATCCTGCCATCAAAAGTAATGAGAATTTTTTATCAAGTATATTTTTATAATTTATACACATAGCTTTATTAAAAATCAAAACAAAAAATGGGGGTCAATGCGCTTCTTTTGGCGCTACAGAGCATTTAGTTTGACCTTTTTGCACTGTACATACGTCTTACACATAAATCAATTTTTAAAGTTTTTCCTTCAATATTTTTTGTTCAAATAAATTATGGTGAACAAACACAGTCTTATTTCATCTTAAATAGACACATTAAAATTTGTAACAACGAAGAAATTTTTGAATTACTCCGCCTGTTCAATTATTTGACCTTTTTGCACTCAAACATTTTCATTTTTCTGGTATTGAAATTTAACAAGCAAAAAAAATCATTTGAAAGTAATGACATTTTACTGAATTTAAGAAGAATGATTAAAAGTATCGTATATATTCAGAAAAGAAAATTAAAAGTGGGGGTCTGTGATGTTAATTTTTAAATATTACTAAAATAGTGCTAATTTTAAGCTTAAATTAGGGCTATTTTTTTTTCTTCATTTCCACAATATATTTGCTATATTTATCAAATATGATGATAGAATTCATGACAGTTTTTTTAATAGATAATTTAGGACCAGTATAAAACAGTCCACTGCACAAAAGAACTATGTGTGCAGACTACATGTAAAAATAGGAATCCAAACTTAACATACTTTTAATTCTTCGAAAGAGAAAAAATGATCATTTTCTTCTAAAAATCCTTCCGCCACAAAATATAGTTCCTCACTTAATGCTTTTGGTATGGAATTTAATCATGGAGTTTTAACTGAATATAGTTAAATTGGCATTGTAGAATCCAAATTTATTGTAAGAATTAAAACATTATGCAGAATTTTTGAAATATAGGTTAAGATAAGAATCTGCTCAAAAGCTCAGGAGCGAACCTCGTTAACGCTTTCTGTTAACTACAGGAACGCGACTGTGTTATAAACTGATACTCCCTCAAACGAATGATATGCTCTTTTCATGATTCAAATTCAGCATCTGTAAATCTTTCGTTTCTCTCCATGTGCTTTAAATGAAATATTTTAATCATGTGTTTCTATTTTTAAATTATACAATAAAAATTCTTGTTTAGTAGAGAAAAGAAAACTATTCAAATAAATTATCAAGCGAGATCACAAGCCATGATATTTAGACTTTGATGAAGTTTTTTTTTATTTTGGCTGATTGTCATGATTGCTATATTCTTTGGTAAATTTCGCGGCACATGTGATTGGACTGATTAAGACATGAGGAAAAAAATGTAGCAATCATATTTTATTATTAGTTTCCAACGTTCCGCATTTATACTAGTACTGTATGATATGTTATAAAAAAATACCCTTGTGTTTTGTAGATGCCACCTACTATTCTTAAAAGGCTGCACGATTTAAAAAAAGATTCAAAAAAGATAATTTTTCAGCTATATAGAGACGTCACCGTATGTCGGTGAAGGGCTTCAAATTTAGACCTATACTCGGCACTCGGGGCCATTGAGAAGTGAGGATTCTTTATCGTACCAACGCCTACCGTGATACGGAACCTCGGTTTTTAAATTCCGTGACTTTTACTTCTAGCGCCGGGCGCTTGGCGAAGGAACAGTCACTACTTATGTTTACATCTTAGGTTTGACGAGGCGCAGCGAACGAGAATCGAACCCCGACCTCCCGATCACGAAGCGAGCATCCTACCACTAGGCTACCGTGACCGGTGTGAAAATATATATCAAACAAGTCCAGGATGAAGTGGGCAAGATTTAAGTCGAATGAACGATTAAAGGAAATTACGATGGGTGAGATTGGAAAAAAACATTAAAAAACATTCTGGACGATGACGCAGATTTGCTCCCGGAGATGGCGGGAGCTTATGTTTCAGAAAACTCCATTAGAAAATTGGAACATGTGTCCATTCATTTGACCAATGAGATTGACGAGCCGCAAGGCCACGACCTTCTGGAGAAGGAGGTCAGTTTATTCACTTCATTTAATCTTTTGCACTCTAACATGGGAGGGGCTAACAAAGAGAATATTCCTACACATGTGTCAGGCATTACATTTAGCGTTGTTTGAACTTCACATTTAATATTGGTGCGTACATGAACAATGCTATTAACTGTATAATTTTTGAAAATAAGCCAATAAGTATACATTTTATGATTTCCAAATCTAAATTTTTTTTAGATCTATTTATGATTAGGACACATAGGATGGTCAAGAGGATCAGAGTCTGTCAACGAGCAAAAATCAAACACGTAATGGACCTTAAAGAGAAGGTGAGAAAATTTGCCCTCCGATCAAAACCAAACGAAGCCTTAGCTCCTTCTAACTCTTGACGAGCTAGCAAAACAAGCTAGAAAGCATAACAATCCAAAGGCCGATGTCTAAGAGGAGTTATGTAGGCAAGCCAACAGACATCAGGGAGAGGTAAGCATTTGACCTTAGCGTACTTTGCGGGAAAGCGTCCGATATCGTAGTAAAAGCTATGGCAAAATGCCTGAAAGAAAAACAATTTTAAGATAAACAATCGACAACAACCTCAGCTAAAGCCTCTGAATCTGCTTCGCCTTTTGAACATCTCTACTCTCTGCAACTAATGCCATACGTACTTTATGCCTCAGAATTTGTCCGGGTGGCCACATACAGGGATGTACCATTATCAGTTCAATCATAGGTTCTCATGATATAGACAAAACCGTTGGAGACCCCGAGGTCAATGTTACTTTTGCAATTCAACCGAACACGCTATCAAGGATTGCGAGAATAGAAAAATCGCAAAAAAACCCTAATAGACCATAATTGTTTATAGTCAATTTGAATGAGTAAGAGTGTTCTATCATATCAACTTTACATCATTTTTGATGTTTTTGTATATGCATAAGATACATTTCATTTGCTCAAATAAAGATAGAAATTTGAATTTTGCTTTTAATTTCAAAGCCTTAAAATCAGACTCTGACTCCCTAGTGTTCACGAGGACTGCAGGTGTATGGCTAATGCCCTTGATTTTGTCCCTGTTAGATGCCCCTCAAGAGCTAAATAATTCATTTTATATTATAGGACGTTGTGGAAATTTAAAAAAAGAAAACCCCTATGTCAATCCGCCATTTTGTATCATTCTTTCTAAAAGATCAACACATACAGCAATGTAGTTTTATTACCCAAGTACTTGAAATATGGAGATAACAAATAGTATTCAAGCTCAAAAGTCCATTAAACAATGCAAAATAGGAACAGAGCAAACACGGACCTCCAAAACATCAGAGTTGGGATCAGGTGCCAGGGAGGAGTGAGCATCCCCTGCCGACCGTTCACACCGGCCGTGTGCTCCTCATTTGGTACCCAGTACTAAACATTTCTTACATCATCAATTACGTTAGGGGTAAAGGGTCAAACTGATCTTTTAGAAATTCTTTCAAAAAATGTTTTGTTTTGGAAAACAAAGGCTTGAAATGGAATTTATTGGCGCATAGGTTATTCTTCATTTAATATTATTTCATGCTGTCGTATTTAGTCTAGAGCAGATTGATGAAAAACTATCGACACTTCACAATCAAAACATCAATTCACCACATCAGAAGAAAAAATCCTCCCTAGCCAGTACTTTGAAAACGTTTATTGAACATTTACCCGAGAAAGCAAGACTAAGAAAGGTATCTCCAAATGTCATAAAAAGGTTTTTAGTGTGGGGAAAAATGGCAAAACCCAAAGCAGGTTCATTCTAAATCTTAAAATTTAGTAAATCATTCTATTCAAACATGCTCATGTCCGTAAAGATTAACATCAGGTACAGTAGATAATATTATTCAACAGCTGATTGATATTCTTGACATGCCGGAAAGAGGTCGAGATTGGAACTCTTCTCTCGGTGTTGGAAACCCGGCAGCTTCGGATAAAGTTAAGAGTTTTATTTAAACTTAAAGAGGGATAAGCACGGGCTCACGTGGTGCCGAAACAAGCAAACCCTATCTTCATAGATAAAATACGCTCCAATGCACAATACAAAAATAGAGAGTTAAGGAGGAACAATATATCACTGCGTGAGAAATATGTTTTACAGAGAGATCAAGCATTAATTAAGTTACAGTTTCTCGTTGGCGATAGAGCGAGTGTAGTTGCGATAGAATTATCACAAGTGGTGAAAAGATAGCGGTTTTGTCTTCTTGTCTTCAGACACACTTTCGACAAAATGTTAAGGGGTGGCCTTACAAAGTCAGATACATTTGTACTAAATGTAGGGATTCGATAATTTGTCATGTCTTTCGTCTGGAATTCTATTTCCAATGCACAGCAAAACACGGAATCCGGATACTTTTTAAGTTTATTACAGAATCGAGAGGGGTCCTTGATAAGCGGTATCTTACGAGTCAATATACGATAGATTTAGAGGTTATCAAGGCTTCTTGAGAATCTCCTCAAAGCATGAGAGCAGGCTGCGCCGTTACCCGTGCGTATACCGAAATTTAAACTGACACGCGTGGAATTATGCAGCATGTTGGATGGTTATCAGAGAAAACGGTCAATTATTACTCCAGGGCATGCACCATGAAAGATGCAAGTCAGGTTGCTGATAATTTAGCACAAGTGGCTGATAATAGCATACTCAGTGATATATGGTAATGGAAAACACCAAACCTCACTTTCGATTCTACTGCAGTTTGAGGAAACTAAGCTAAACTCGGGGACTAACCGTCCACCAGCAGAGGCCTGTACCCAGGGATCATAATGTAAATGATATATGGTACCAATTTTGATGCACCAGATGCGCAA